CCCCAAAACCCCAAAACCCCAAAACCCCAAAACCCCTTTAAATGCAATTCAAATTGCAATTCTCAAAATAATTAAGAAATGATCACCTAGAAAACTTTTGCGTAACAAAGCTGAACAATAAGAAAGCCTTAAATATGAAGACTTATGAAGAAGATTATAAAGATTGTAATTGAAAATACAGATGCACTATCTGAGGTTTCAATTTTATTGGTCGAGGCTGCAGGTGTATTGGTCGAGGGCACAGGTGGGTTGATTGAATGATCCCTTCCATGCAATCCCACTCTTTGGCCTCCAACATCATGGTAGACATAATATTCTCTGAGGAAGGAGTCCCCTAATATAAGTATACCACCTATATAACTTGTTAGTGAAAGTTCACCAGAAATTCGGCTATTGGTACTGGTACAAATTATACTCTTTGCTAGGTCCAGAGACGAATCAATTCGATTTAGGATAAATTATAAGAGAATTTTGATAAAACCAAGAATTCGAAGATATTCCCATGAAGAAGTTTTGACTTCAAAATTTGGTGAAAAGAAAACTAAGGAAATCTTACCAAGATTGACTGTATAAAAGCTTATATAGAGTAAGCAAACTCCATTGGAAGAGGTGCCTTCGAAGTACTCTACGTAAGCAGAGGGAGGCATCTTGGTATCGTAATTTCCGAGCTTAATCGTGATATCTTTAAATTCGTTAATTGAGTCTCAGTAGCAAGCAAGCCAACTTGTCCCAGTAACATATCCTCAAGTTTTGTCGTATGTAATTTTATTCCAAATCTTCATAAAATCTGATTGCTGAAATATCGTCAAAGATGTTCCTGTATCAAGAACTGCGCTGGTAGATGCCATGCTAAGCTCAGTATCTCCATACTTGACTGTGCTCATCGGAACAGTCCAATGAGTATTAGTTTTTAAGCCAATCCAAGCAAACTCTTGATCGCTTTTGATCAGATCAGTGTCGTAGCCTCCAAGAAGAATCGATGACGTGCCATTTAGCCATCTGTAATCAACTCCGAAAGCATTCTTGCTGATAATTCCAGCATTATAGAGTTTCTCCACTAAGAGAGTGCCAGGTCTTCCTCCAGTAATTGCTGGGCCCATTCCAAGAATCCCATCAGCAACCATGCCTTGGATTGCAGAATCGGCTGTATCTACACCTAGGAGTTCCATAGTTACGGGGCCTGATGAAGAGGTGACATGGACTTTGTCATTGGCAACATCACCGACAACTTGTCCTGAGAGGTAATTTATAGTGTATCTTGTGCCTGTGCTGGAGTAAGAACTAGCTGGAGTATATTTATTGCTGCTTGGGCACGAAGAACAATTGTTTAGAGGAGTCCACAAGAGCGTTGACCCTGTATCCCAAATGAAGGTCTGATTGTATTTAGCATCTCCGAGGAGAAGACTTGCATGGTATTGGAGGTCATACTTGTTTGTCATCGTTACATTAATTTCACCTAGACCTCTTCCGTGTCTCTTTTCAATAGTCTCAATCTCTGACTTAATATCCTCTTTATGGTCATTCAAGTAGACCTTCTTGAGCGGCAATCTTATTGTCTGGGCCATAGCGCTAGAAAATATTCCTATCAGACATATGGCAGCTGCAGCCATTAGGGACCAATTTCTTTGTGTAAACAAATTGAATTTTTTGCTAAATTTTGCTTGCGAAATTAACATTATAGTTGATCTCAATCGACTGTTTTAAATAAGGGGTTTTGGGGTTTTGGGGTTTTGGGGTTTTGGGGTTTTGGGG